TAGGAGTCTGGGAAGTCAGTTAGTTCCGAGTTGTGGCTAGTAGGAGATGATGGAGAAGAAGTCAGAAAGATGGGTACTAGAGTTTGGGTAAACTTTACAAGAGTAATAGCTGTTTAAGGATTAACCCTAACTGCATGTGTTGGTCTCAGCCATAGTGTCAAACCAAGTTAATGATAAAAGGGAATATGGCTTGCTCTGGTAAGTTTACCTCGAGAATAAAAATAGTCTAAGAATTATAGTTCTATGGTCAAATACGAATAGATCTGGGTCTGTGATCTAGTGAAATTAATACTAGAGTTAGCTCAGAGAGTTTAAATAGAACATCTAAACAGAGGTGTTAGATACAGCAACTGGTGGGAAACCCTTAGGTGAACTTCTTAAATAGGTAATATAGAAAGTTACACATATAACTAGTTGTACACTCATCTAATAATTCATTATAAATATGTCTATGTATCTACTATAAGTATTAATAAAAAGTTTAAACCAAAGAGGTCACCTTAATACTGAAAAAAAAAAAAATTTATTTTGTATTGATCTTTATTTGTCTTGGTTTAATCTTTTTTTATTCAAATTTTTTCTTTTTGATATTTGGTATATTATTTATTTTCTTTTAATATTTCTTATTATATTTTTTTTGTTTTCTCTTATTATTATTTTTTTTTTTTACTAATTCTTAGTATTACTTTATTTATGTTATATTCACAGTTAAAGTTTATTTTTATCTATAAGTTTTTTCTCTTAAAAACTTCTTTAATATCTTTAATATATATATTTTTTATTTGATAAATATTATATATATATTTTTTATTTTTTTATACATATTGTGTACTATTATATTAACAAATAAACTGTTGTTTTAATTATAATTTCTTTTGATTTGTATTCAAATGTTTTCTTCTAAAGGTATTCTAGCTATATAAATTTCTTTTTTAATTTTTTATTTTCTTTTTATTTGTTTTTCTGTTTTTTCTATTGCTAAGTTATGTTTTAGATCTTTTTTATTTATTTATATATTTTTTGTTTTTATTTTTCTTTTTGTTCTTCAGCATTTTTTTTTTAAATAAGAAAAATTTTTTTCTGATTGTTGCTTATTTGATTTATCTTTATATTTATTATCTTTATAAGGTTTTGATATTGTTTTGTGATTTTTTTCTATTAGTCTTTTCATATTCTATCTTTTTTTTTGTATTACTTTATACAATTCTGAATTTTTATTTGTTTCAGTTAATTGCTATTGTATTATTTTTCTTTTGTTTTATATCTACTTTGTTATATGTTCTAATATTATCTTAGTTTTGTTTTATTTGATAATATTAACTTTCTTTTATGACTACTCTTCTTTTACTTTCTTTATTATTTTTCTAGTTATATATACTAAAGCAATCTCTATTGGAGCTTATTTTATTAGCATAACAATAATTTTAACTTCTCTATTTGGTATTGTATAAATTCTATCTATTTGGTTAAAAAACACCTTACTGTATATATTATTTATTGTCCAGTACACTCTTTTAATATAAATTAATATTAAACTTTTTTTTAATTTTATATATTACTTATATTTCTGAGTTATTATTACTAATTCTTATTATTACTTGTTTGTTCTAAAACTTATTATATTTTGCATCTATCTCTGCTAAAATTAGACTTATTTGTCTATTTATTTATATATATATTTGTTTTGTTTGTCTATTTATTTGTTGTTGTAATAAACAAATCTATACTTTTAAATCAAAATGAATTCTCCAAATTTCATTTTTTAAAGTTTATATGAAATGGTTTTTTCTTTAATTCTCTTACTAAATGATCTATTTTATTGTCTTTATTTCTTGTTATACCTTCTTTATAAATTTTTTATCTTTTTTTCTTAAGCTTGTAAGATTAATTTAAATAATTATTTTTAAAAAACTTTTAAATTAACTTTTGTGTATAAGTAATCAGTAGAAAGAGTTGTTATGATTTGAAACTGTATTTACAATCTGTATTTACAAACTGTATTTACACAAACAAAATAAAATTATTGTTTTTAGAATATTTATATATACATAAATACTGTGAAAAAAGAAAAAACTAACTCATTGTATCAAAACAAACTATTTAATTAATTAGAATTACTATTTTTTAAAGTATTTACTTGTATCTGATATATGTTATAATAAAAAAACTTACTAATTATTTTAATAAACAAAATATTTAAATTAATTAGAATTAATATTTGTTAGAGTATTTACTTGCTATAAAAAAAAAAAACTAATATGTACTTATAGCTGATAGCAACTAATCAAGTTGGACTATCCAAAAACATCAAGTCATATTCTGGTTGACTTATAATCCAATTTGAAAAATGAAATTTTAAGACTAAGCTGAAAGCTAATCAACATAATCTGATCTTTTTAAATTAATAAATACAATTAATAAATACAATTAATAAATATTAGTAAAGAATTTTCATAACCTGACTGGACAACCTGATAAGATCATGAGCAAAAGCCAAATCATTAAGAAGTGGGCACCTGCCCAAACATATTATAAAAAAAAAGTAATCAGTTTGATATCTATTTTCAGCTCAATCTGAAATCATCTGATGCGATCATAGCAAGAGCCAAAATCGGTAATTAAATCTTGTCCAATAAATTAAAAACCAAAACTCGAAAGACATTATAAATACAACCTGAATTCGACAAAAATTCTTGGAAGCGCATGCTCAGATAGATCTGATCATTCAAATCACTCAACTTAGAATAGAACATAAAAATATCTTTTCCGTTTTAGCTTAAAAGGAAATGTGGCAGATCACGAGTAAATATGCGACCAATAATAAAAGAATAATTTGTTTATCCCATACTTTTAAAGAAACGAACTTCACCATGCCTAAGAAAAAAGATTAGAATGGGTTAATTCCCCTAGTACATGTTATGACACCATTTTTATTATAATAAAATGATCTGGCATTGTAAAATAATTTCTTTATATGTTGCACACTGGGTGAAGGATCAGTCGTGTACATCGACGGTTCCTCCTGTTACTGTAGCCATAGCTACAAAAATATTACCCCTATTTTAATGCTTTCGCAAAAGTGTGGATTTTTGCAAAGTTCATATTTGTACAATTATAATATGCTTATCTATCAGCTTAATCACATTTAATGCGAATTCCATGATCCGATCAACTTTACCACGCCTTATCTTCAGATCTTTATCCTCTATTTTGGTCATCTGCTAGGAAAATCGCTATTTGGCACTTGCCTTCAAATAGTGTTTTTCCTAGCAAATGACTATTTTATGCAGATTCACCGATCGACAATATGCTTATTCGTCATCATGCTTTATCTCTGGAGTTTTATCCTATTTTATTTAGTCAGAATTTACACAAACATAAATAATGACGCAGCAAAATATAATAATGTAAATGCTTTCCGGAAGCAACTTTAAATTTTTAAGTCATTTATCCGTGAAAACTTGGCAAAAATTCATCTTTTAACTCTTTAAAAATGTCAAAATTACCGAATGAATGCCTTGAAGAAATATTTAATTACCTTAGAAATTATTCTAGGCACTTGTTTTCACGTCTTGTAAATCGTCAATGGTGCAGAATTGTTATTCCAATTTGATGGAGCGAGCCATTAAAACATTGCTGCTATGGAAAACTTATAAGCATATACCTTTTATAGTTAAATGATGAAGAAAAGGCTAAATTAATTTTATTAAAAATATCTCTTCCCAATAGTCCAAAATTATTATTTGAATATATATCTCATACTACGTATATTAATTTTTATAATTCAGAAAAAGGAGTTAATAAAGAGTAACTGTTCGCCCGATAATAAAAGTGTTGTGAATAACATTTCTCTTTAAAACATTTGTTACAGGGAAGTATATTTAAGACATTTGTTTACAAACAAATAATTACAACATGCTAATGCACCTCCGTTAGCTAAAACTACCTTTTTTCAAATTTCATGTCATGGAATTCTGGCCTGCATTATTGTAGCTTGCTGCTAATGCAGACCAGAATTATGAGTTTCTGAAATATTCCGAAAACTCAGAAATATTCCCATGCGCACCTCACTAGTTAAAATCCTTCTTTTAACCTCACTAGTGTTTTTTAACCCTCTCTGGGTGTTATTATCTCTCGTAGAGTGTTAATTGTGTCTTTTTGATCCCTTTTAATAAAACATACATTAAACCTAAGATAACAATAACGCATGTAGAAAAATAAGAATCGACGCATAACACCTTCCATTTTGTGTTATCTCCGAAAATTAATCTGCTTAATGCAGTGCGGACATATCATTACGATTACTATTTCTGGCTTAATGCTTTTGTGCAACAATTCTAAACTTCCGCATATAATATAAATCGATATTTGATGTTGTGCTTGAAGTTGCCAATTTAAATACACTTTCTAAAATTAACCCCTAAAATCAGATCTTTCTTGCACGCATCAGTTAATAATTTTAGGCAGTTTCAACTTCAAACAAATGCTAATTTCAGGCACGACATTGACACATGAAATAGTGTTTATACAATAGCATTTAATTATATCATGTCAAGTGAAGAAAAATTACCAAGGGTTTATAATAAACGATTATTAGATGATCAGATCGGTAATATACCGAAACGAGTACATGTTGATGATTTTTTAAATGGAATTATCAAGGAATTATGTGACCTGTATAATGATGAAGTTAGAAAAGGAAACTCTGCAGTTTCTATTCTTGACTCGATAGACCATTATATGGTAGACAAGCAGCAAGCCCCAAAAGAAATAATCAATTTATGTTTAAATAATCAAGAAAATCCGATTATTCAATCCAATCCTTTAATACAAAATATTCTTGCATATTGCTATGAATATGGAAAATGGATTAAAAAAAATAAAGGTCATGCATTTTTTCATTATGAAAAATCTGCTGACATGGGTGATACCGTTGCAATAGCTAACCTTGGACGTTGTTATGAAAATGAAATAGGAGTTAAAAAAGATGAATATTTGGCATTTATCTATTATCAAAAATCTGCTAATATTGGAAATGCTTCTGCGATAAATAACCTTGGACGTTGTTATGAAAATGGTATAGGAGTTAAAAAAGATGAACATAAGGCATTTGTTTATTATCAAAAATCTGCTAATATGGAAAATGCTTCAGCGATAAATAATCTTGGACGTTGTTATGAAAACGGTATAG